CCCCTGGCAATTCCCTCTTCATGACCATGCACAGGCAGCTCATCTGGTGTTTACACACCAAACTGGCTCTTCAACGGGAAATGGTCTCTTGGAATTGTGACCTATTTCTTAATAACAAGACTGAGGAAGCCAGACCACCGTGAGACATTCAATATTCAAAAATGTAACCAAAGGCTGAGGAAGCAACTCAGAGACAGCATCGTACCAGGACGCTTCCATCCCTGGCCAGCCCCTGGACACACGTTTACATGAAGGAGAGCGAGTCATTTGGGTACGTACCAGCCCGCTGGCTTTAACCAGGGGAGCCTCCAGGTCCGGGTAGACGTTCTCCAGGTACCACCGGAAACTTTTGCACTGCAGCTTCTTTCGCAGTTGGATTTGTTGTGTCAGGTCGCCAACATCCAGGTTTTTCAAGACCAAGTGGTAAGCGTGGCCGTAGAACAACTCCTTGTACTCGTCCAGCCAGACCTCCGCAACGCGGGCCAAGTTCCTCTCCACTGTTCGCACCCGATCTTTCGGGAAGGAGTAAGGATTGTCATTCCTGAAAATGTGCCCGACTCTGGAGCACGGAACAATCTCAATCTCTCCTCCACACATCCAGACCTGAGAAACAGAGGTTGCTTTAACAGAAACATGGGCAAATGTCGGGTGCTGGCTTTGTGCAAGCCAGAAGAGAAGCAGCTTGAGCCCCAGGCACCCAAGCCAGGCTGGTGGGGATGCAGGTGTGTGGGACAGGCTGCTGAGAGCGACCTACCTTGAAAGAAATCTCCATATTTTCACCTCCCCAAACATCCAGCCCTGGGTCGTATGTGCCCAGCTCAAAAAAATACTTCTTATCGATGGAAAACAGGCCACCTGCCATGACCGGGCACCTGGGGACAGAGAAGCCACAGGGTGTGGCAGCTGCTCGGGAAGCGCCCGTCCCTCTGCCCTTGCTTTGGCGAGGGAATCACCGAGAAGCTGTGGGCTACTAAATGCTCAGGGACGGTGCCTGAGCCTGCACTTGGGGACAGCGAGGACCACCCAAATCATCACTTTGCTGCAAGCTGACAGATGCAACATTAAACTGGATGGTATTTGGGTGGCTTTACCCTTGAAAGCTGTGATGAGGCATGGAAGGGAAACATGCAACAGTACGTCCCCCGGCCCCAGCAGCACCGGCGAGATGCCAGCAGTGCCACAAGAGGCCAGAAAGGCTGGCTGGGCTTTGCCCACCTCTGGTGATGTGATTGCCCACAGTGCACCACTGCCTCTGTTGTCCTTACAAAGCAAGGGAACAACATTTGGCCCCAAATTATTAACAAAGGAACGGGTTGGTTCACAAAGCTCTCACATTTGCTTTTTTTACCTTATTATATCAGTTTCCTTGATTTTATTTTTTTCGATGACTTCCTGTGGAATCTGCCTCCATCCAAAATTCATTGGCCAAGTAAAAATCCCACGCTGAAAGTTGTCCACGGTCATGTAACTAAATGGAGAAAACAGCGGCATGACTAACTCTGAGTCACATTCCTGATTGAAATGTCACCCTTAATGAGTGAAGACAAATATCTGTACATAATTAAAACATGATTTTAATGAATTTCATCAGGAATCCTCTTCATGTGCTAAAAGTCATGAAAAAGGGAAAAGGTGTGTGTGATAAATGATGGGGCGATGCCCACTGCCAATGTTAACTGCCAACACACAGCAATGTGATGGATACCCCGTGAAATGCTGCTGGAGGCCAGCGAGGAGGTCTGGACCTGCCTCTTCCTGTCACTGGCACGTTGGTGGTCCAGTAAGAGGTTTTGCTCAAGCTTCTGGCAGGGATTTTGGGTTCCCCAGGGGTGTGAGCTGCCTTACCTCATGTCCTTGTCGCTGATGACCTCGATGACGGGGCAGGCGACCTTGGTGCGGCTCAGGCGGACCCTCTCCAGCAGCGGCTCCAGCCACCCCACGTTACACTCCACGTGCGAGTCCAGGAACGTCAGGACAGTGCCTGTGGGAGCGGCCGGGGCGGCATCAGGCCTGAGGTGCCGTGTCCCTATCCCGTGCTGGGCAGCCTCCCCACGTGCCC